AAGAAGAAGAAGAAGAAGAAGAAGAAGAAGAAGAAGAAGAAGAAGAAATAAATTAATGAAATTAGTGGGAGTGTGCAGGGCATGGTTCTGTGTGATATCCTTGCATGTACCAGATAGCCTTGAACTGCTGAATTTCAATACAGCCCAGGTGTCCATCAATTATCAGGATGGTCTGGTCAAAGTTCCATTCTCCCACCACAGGTCAGCAAAGTAGTTATCATAGTGCAGTGCTGTCCTGTCTCAAACAATTGTCCCTACGCCATGCCATCTCATCAAATTCCAGGCTGTCCTCATCAAAGAATAGACTCTCCAGACTTGTAGAAGTCCAGTGTTCTTTGTACTACAACCTGTCACCTCAGGACCATCCCTTGTAGAGCCATGGGCTGTCTCCTGCCACACTGTAAACACCTGTTCCTCCTCTACAGCCTAGGACTGTCCTTGGCTGTTTCTCTCAGACCCGAGAGCTACCCCAAAGTCAGTCTAGGCTTGGTCCCTGCAAGATATCCTTGCCAAAACCCTAGCCGGCAATCTTCTCTTTGCTTCCACAGATCTGAGCAGGCTCCTGTTCAGAGCATCTCCATTACAGGATAAAACTGTCTTCCTCAGAGCCCTGATCTAGCCCATTAGAGTTGGGGACTGGTCCAGTATGGCACCGCACTATCAGAGTCTACACTGTCCCGGTCATATCCTACGACAATGTCTAGAACATTTCTGTCTTGTCACTCAAGAACTGGGACACTTAAAGGTCAGTTCAGGAGTTCACCAGCCTGGGCTAAGAGCTTCAGAGTCCGGCGCGACCTAACAAGCGTTTCCCCCAGGGTATGGCGGTTGTTTGCACCCTCACTTACAAATCACGTTCTCTTAAGATCACAGACTCTCAAGCTACGCAGTGATGGCGCAAGACTGAAATCCCAGGACAGAGGCACAGAGTTCTCTGAGTTCGAGGGTAGCCTGGTCTGCAGAGCGAGTTCCAGGACAGCCAAGGCTACGCAGCAAAACCCTGCCTCGAAAAAACAAAGATCACAGATTCTCCAAAACTGCTGCTGCTAACACCATCGGTAAGCACCGACTGAAGTGCTCTTGCCTGGAAAAATCTTGGTAATTTTGACAGACTGAAGCTTGCCTGGGATTACAAAACCAGGTACAGCGACTCGGACACTCCACACGTAGATATATGCCTTTTGTTTCAGGATCTTGAGTCCCTTCCCCAGCCAAGACCCTGTGTCAAGTCCCAGAGATCCTGGGCCCCCTATCTAAAGGAACCCAAGAACGACTGGACCTGAAAACGTGCAGGCTGCACGCCCCAGCCACAACTTCCCCGCACCCACTCCACGCTGTGCTCCTCCCTTTACAGCCCTCCTCCCTGCTCCCCACTTCCGACCTCCCTGTTGAGGTACCTCCCGCACCCCACTCATGTCTACCCACTCTGCCGCCCGTTAAAGCCCGGTACTCCTTTCCAAGGGGCCCCATCCGCCTCTGTGTCCAGCAGCGGAACCCGAGGCACAGAGGAATGACGCCAAGCCGGAAAGGCTGGACGCCAGGGCCGTCCGGAAGTGTGCCCCTATCGGGTTCCCCAGAGCCCCCAGCGCCGGGCGGCCACGGACCCACCTGCCCTAGTACGGCTGCGGCCATGATCCGAGCGGCCGGTAACTGTGCCCGCTTGGGGCGCGGCCTGGTGAAAGACATTCGGGCCCCGCCCTGCTCACGCCCCCTCCCGCAGATGGCTGCTCTCTGCGGGCCTCACTTCAGCCAGGCGGCTCTGAGTGATTGGACCTCAGGGACCCAGGCTCTGCCGTGAAGAACAGGAGCTGGAACTGTCCAAAACTGTCATTCATTCTCCCTCCTGGCCTCCACCCTGCCTTGCTCTTCCCCAGCCACACCCAGGCCCAGCCAGGCATTTACCTTGGCTATTGTTTTGCTTGTGAGTACTTGAGGACTGAACCCATGGCCTCATGAATGTTAAGGAAGTGTCCTAACCACTGAGAAAAGATCTCCAGACCTAAAGAACGAAAAAGAAAGAAAGAAAGAAAGAAAGAAAGAAAGAAAGAAAGAAAGAAAGAAAGAAAGAAAGGAAGAAAGGAAGAGAGAGAGAAAGAAAGAAAAAGGAAGGAAGGGAGATAGACTGATAGACAGATAGATAAATATTGCCGGGCATGGTGACACCCGCCTTTAATCCCAGCATTTGGGAGAAAGGAGGATCTCCTGTGAGTGCAAAGCCATCCTGACCTACGAAATGAGTTCCAGGCCAGCAATGGCTATATAGTGAGACCCTTTCTCAAAACAAAACAAATGAAGGGTTGGAAAGAAGGCTCAACAGTTAAAAACACTGGTTGCCCTTTCAGAGCATTGAGTTCGGTTCCTAGTGCCCACACCGCAGCTCACAACTGTCTGCCACTCCAGTTCCAAGGGCTCCTATGCCCTCTTCTGAATTCCACTGTCCATGCACAGGCCATATATATATGTGCAAGCAATACAAACGTACACATAAAAATTTTTTATTTATTTTATTTATTTATTTTTTTTTTCGAGACAGGGTTTCTCTGTGTAGCACTGGCTGTCCTGAAACTAGCTCTGTAGACCAGGCTGGCATTGAACTCAGGAGATCATCTGCTTCCCGGGTACTGGGATAAAAGATGTGTGCCACCACAGCTGGTTATAAAAAGATTTTCTAACAACATAACCACACACACACACACACAAAGCATCTTCAAAGGAACTGTGCTCCGTGGGGCAAAGCGTTCTAAGAGGAAACCTTCACTGTAAATGTCAGTGGGTACAGAGAAGGTGCACTTTAAGCTGGGTCTGGTGGCACCCGCTTGTAATCCCAGACCTCTGAAGGCTGAGGCAGGAGATTTGCTGCAGATATGAAAGCATCCTAAGTAAGAGAGCTACACTCTTGGCTCAAAGAAATGAAACAAAAAGAACAGGAATTTGGGGAAACAGGATGATAGGTGGGGGATAAAAGACTCCTCACTCTGCACAGTGAGTTAACTTGTTCTTTATAATGCCGAGATAAGCACGCACAAACATACTGGGAGAGAAAGGGAAATGTTAGACCACAGTGTCTGTAATTCTGGACATGTTCTCAGACCCTTTGGCCACCACTGCTCTCAGACCCAACACTGGATCAACGTTCTTCAAGCTTCCAAGGCTACAGTAACCAAATCACACGCTCTCCCCCACAGACATTGCCTTTGTCTCCATCACACCCCATCTTCCGCTCTCGCCTGGTAAACCGGCCGTCCTCCCCTACGGCGGCCAAAAACTGTCGGGCGGCGCCGCAGCAGCAAACGCCCCCGCCGCGGCCAATCAGCGGCTACCGCACACCTCTGCCTTGGCCAATCCACAGCAGCCTTGCAGTTCCACCCCTTTACCTAGGGTGCGGGGAAGCTGCTGCACCCCGCGCCCAACCTGGGCAGTGTCCAGGGCTCCCGCCCCTCCCCCAGCGAACTTCCTCCCCCAGTGTCCTCCAGCCCTACACCAAGCAATCCAAGTGCCAGCCTCCTCCCTCTGACCCAAGTGTGTCAACTCCACGCCGCCTCAGCGCTCAGGAATCTTCTGTCCGCCGCCTCACTATCGCACTGGCAAAGAGCAAAACTCTCCTCCCAGGAGGACGAAGAATAAAAGCAGGCACTTTTGCGCCTCCTTCATTATTTGCCAATTACCGCTTAATTTATTCTCCCCAGCAGGCCATTTAATTAGCAGCCAGGTGAAGCGGAACTCTTCGCCCTAGCGACAGGAGTTAACGCTCACCAGCTGCAAGGCCTCTGGGAGATGTAGTTCTTTGGAGTCAGGACCGCGCGTGGCCTAACGGTAGCTGGGAAAGGCAATGCTAGTGTGCACAGACGTGTAAAGAACAGGAAATAAATGTTTCCTTTCTAGGTGCAGGTCGTTTTATTTAATTGCCATTTGTTTTTCAAGACAGGGTTTCAAGATAGGGTTTCTCTGTGTGTATCCCTGGCACTCTGTGTAGACCAGGCAGGCCTTGAACTCACAGAGATCCATCTGCCTCTGCCTCCCAAATGCTAGGATTAAAGGCGCGAGCCACCACTGCCCGGCGGGTCTCACTTTTCAGCCCTTGAACTCTCAGCAACGCTCTTGCTTTCTTGACCAACTGCTGAGCGTGCAGGCATGTTCCACCAGGTCTGGTTTTCTGGGTCATTTTTTAAGCGTGCAGTTCCCTAGGGGTGGGGTTCCACTGAGGTCCAACCAACCCACTATAACTGCCTTGTCCTGTTAGAACCCAAACCCTGTGCCCGTGAACTAACTCCTCCCTGACCTGTTCTCAGTCCCTTTCTGTCTCCATGAATCTGCTTTACTGGCCGTTTCGTCTAATTTGTGTCTCTTTGCCTGGGTCGTTTCCCCAGAAGCACATAGCTAATAATGGTGCAGACAGACACTACAGAAGGCAGGCTGGCCTCGAACTCAAGGAGAGCTGCTTGCCTCTGCCTTCCAAGTGCTGGGATTAAGGGTGTGCGCCACCACTGCCCAGCTGCAAGTTGTTTTTATGAGTGCAGGGTGAATGTAAGTGGGCAGAGCCTAAGCTGTTGGGGCTGAAGCTGGGAGTGTTAGGATTTTAGAACACAACCTGCTCCTGGGTTACCTGGCAACTTATGAAGTCATCATGTGTCACCAGCCAGGTGGCCACACCTGGAAAGGTGGGGTTACCTTGCCCCTTAAAGGCCAATCCCGACACGTGGTCTCTCTCATTCTTATTCTTTCTCTCTCTCTCTCTGTCTCTCTTACTCTCCTCTTGCTTTCTCTCTCTCTCTCTCTCTTACTCTCCTCTTTCTCTCTCTCCCTCTCTCTCTTGGGGCACCCCCTTTCCCTTTCTCTTCTCACCATGTCCTATTTCCCCCACTCCCTCCATACCCACTCAATAAACCTCTTGCAGAGAAGCTCAGTTGACCCAGCCTCATATTTCTTTAAATAATAACTAACAGGGAGGCACATGGGGAGTACAGGCTGGAATTTGGGGTAGGAAATGCTAGATAAGACAGGGGCAAGTAGTAGCTCAATGGTAGACTCCCTTGCTTAGAATTCCCTAGTAAGAGGCACCTGTGGCTCAGTAGTAGAGCACCCGCCTAGAATCTCCCAGTGAGGTGCTGGAGGTGTGATTCAGTAATAAAACACTTGACTAGAATTGTGGTTCTTGAATGAAATGATGCCATGACCATTCCAAGATATAGTTGAAGAGAAGATTTTTGTTTGTAGCTCTAAGGGAGAGTACAGCCAGAGGCATCTGGAGGAGTACAGACTGAACTGGGCCATAAGAGGAAAGGGGAAGGGAGGGCAGAGGTGAGTGAAAAGAAGAGAGAGAGAAGAGGAGAGAGGGCAAGTGGACCAACAGAGAAACCAAGGACCAAAATGTCCAAAATGGCAGGGTTTTCTAGGAATCAGAAGCTGGGGAAGGGAAGGGAAGGGAAGGGAAGGGAAGGGAAGGGAAGGGAAGGGAAGGGAAGGGGAGGGAAGGGAAGGGAAGGGAAGAACCTGGGCTAGAGAGGGTCAAGTGTAGAGGTGACCTTCAGTCACATTGCTGTTAAGGTGTGTCTCTGTATAATTAGGTTGTTAGTTACTGAACCAGTAGTGAGCTAAATGCTAACAGTGGTATTGTCATTACTATTGAGGAACCTCCTGTCTCAATGCTGTGTAAAAATTACTCCCCAGTTATCTCTGATTGGTTAATAAAGAAGCTGAAGAGCCAATGACCAGTCAGAGGAGACAGTAGGCAGGGCTTCCATTCCCAGTCTGGGGGTCTCAGGAGAGTGGGGGGGTGGAGAAATAGAAGAAGACGGTTGCCAGGACATGAGGACACAAATGGAGCAGGAGTAGTCAGGGCAAAACCAGATGGCTAGAAGCATGGAGCACAGGGCTGGGAAGTAGCCAGGACAGTACAGATGGCTTAGAATAGGTCAATATCTGCCCAGCCATAGTGCTCTAGCTTATTAATAAATGTGTGTAATACTGTATAAATTATACACTGCTCAACAGGTCTGATACAAAGAGCTTTATTTAAGGGCAGAGTGGGAAAGAGACATAAAGGCATGGGAGAGCATAGGAGAAGAGAAAGGGCATGGGTAGAGAGCCCCTGGGAAGAAAGTCAGAGAGAGAAGGAGCAGTGAAGGGCTGGCCTTACATCTGGAGCATGCCTGGCTTGCACCTCCTAGGGGCTGGTGATGACATCAGAAGTTGCTAGGCAACCTAGCCTAACAATAGCTCTCCATCTCATTATTTGGGAGTTAGAGTGGGCACAGAAAAAAAAAACTTTAATTTTAAATGTTAAGAACGGAGGTGAGAAAAGCAGAGAAAAGTCATAGGTAGCTAGCTGCCAGCAGTTAGCCAATTATCCTGAGCTTCTTTGGGGCCTGACAGTTCAGTGGTAAAGGCCCTGCCTAGAATCCCGCAGTGAGGCACTGGGGGATGAATCACAGTGTGATTCGGTGGTAAAGCCCCAGCCTAGCACACAGCAGGTCTTAGGGTTAACTCCAGCACCACAGAAGAGGAAGGAAGGGAGAGGAATGGGTAGGACATTAGAAATTATGGTGGGAGAGTGGGGACCTCCATGAGGCTGCTTCCGCTAGCTTTGTAACCATACCCTAGTTCTGCTCAAGCCCTGTGGAGAAGGTGGCTTCAGTGGCCAGGAACAGGGCTGTAGCCCTGACCCCATATGGGAAAGATGGGGCTGGGGAGAGAAGGGAGGAAGAAAATGAAGACCAGCCTCCCTTAGGCATGTTGGCTCACACCTGTCCTCTCAGCAAATATGCAGCCTAGGCAAGAAGTTTGCCTCGAGTTCAAAGCCTGGGTTAGAAAGTGAGACAAAGGTCACTCAAATACACACACACACACACACACACACAGAGAGAGAGAGAGAGAGAGAGAGAGATAATATGGTGGTACATGCCTGTAATTCCAGCATTTAGAAAATGGAAACAGAAAAACCAGAAGTTCAAGGATATCCCCAGCTACATAGCAAGGTCCAAGCCAGCCTAGATTATATGAAGCCGAGAAGAGGAGGGGGCCACAGAGACAGAGAGGAAGGAGAGGAAAGAAAGCCCAACCCAACCAACCCCCCTCCTTAGCTCCCTCCATCCCTCTCAACCCCTTTTTGTATGGGCCAAGGTACCTTCTAGGACAATGGCACTGAGGTCTGAAGTTGAGGCTGCAGCTCTTCTCACAGTGGGGTCCAGATATTTCCTGGGGAGGAGCTAGGTGAGGGAAAGAAAAACTGAAAGACACATGTTGGTATAATGTTCTTTTGGAATGTACACACTTTACCTTTGTTCATTCAAGTGCTCATTTCTCTCCCCGACTCTCTGGTTTCAATCCCGACATTGCATTGTAATATTTATTCTAAGCATCACCTGTCTCAACTTTGTGTAAACATGCCAAAATAAAGCAACTAGCCACAATGTTGAACAAGGGAAAGGAAACAGGAAAGACTGGGAGAGAAGGGCAGGAGAGAGCTGGGAGAACAGAGGCAGAAGGAAAGGTCTTGGAATGATGTGGCAAGATGGACTGGACCTAATATATCACAAAAAGCAAGTGTAATGTGGGAAATCTGAATGGTAGAAACTATGAGGGCTTGGAAGTTTAGGATGGAACAACTATCGCCCAGCATTGTGCTCTAGGTTAATTAAATAAATCCCAGTGTCTGTGTGGTGATTTGGGTATACAGCTCTTTAGGATTAACAACAGCTTTGCCAGAAGATTGATAGATCAATAGTGAATATCAATCGCTACTTACAACAGACATGTGTGCTGATTCTGTCCTGGCATCCCCAGCTGCCCTGAGGCTCTCTGTCCACTTTGATCAGCTCACCGGTGGACACGGACACCATACGGGCTCTCATCCAAAACCAAAGCTTTCGCTATGGCTGTCACTGGCCCCTGCAGAGGCAGAGATTAGAAAGGGTTGAGCCTCTGAGGAGGGCATCCCTCCCATCCTCAGAAAATCTAGAAGGGCCTTGCAAGACAGCTCAGCATTTCAGGGGCTTGCTGCCAGCCTGACAGCCCCTGTTTAATCCCTGGGACCCACACCTTGACTCCTCTAAGTTGTCCCTGGACCTACATATGTGTGTTGTGGCATGCACATGCACACAGAGATACGTGGAGACTAAGACTAATTAAATAAATAAGAATGAACTTTACAAATCAGTGCTGGAGGGATGGCTCAGCAGTTAGAGAACTGGGTGCTCTTCAAGGGGACCAGATTCCATTCCCAGCACCACATGATGGCCCAGTTCCAGGGGACCAGATTCTCTCTTCTGCACTCAGCATGAAGCTTAAAGGTACCCAGTGTATATACACACACGCAGGCAAAACACTCATTCACTTAAAATAAACACAACTACTTAGTATTTTTTAATGTCTTTAGTGCTGAAGATAGAACACACTTTGGTTGCAGGACACAGAGAAATTAACCGTCACGGTTCCAGAAAATGTTATGCAGGTCATTGGAAGAGAAAAGTCAGCAGACTGCCTAGAAGTGGGCCTTGTGTGCTATAGTACGGACCTGACAGGCATGATATCCCCACTGGTACAATAGTGGCATTAATGTCATGGCCACAGCTAACTGCTGTCCACTCAATTTGAGGCTAGTGCTACAGGAGGGAATTTAAGCCTAGTACTAGAAATCTGGTCAAAAGTTCACAGCTCCTAGGTCACAGGCCCTGGGAGGGAACCTATCAGGGTTCAGCCTCAGACAAAGAAGCTCTTTCTTCCTCTTCCTCTTCTGTTGGTATGGTTGATGTTTGAGACAGGGTCTCACTGTGCATACCAGCTTGCCTCCAACTCACAGAGATCTGCCTACCTCTGCTTCCTGAGTTCCGGGATTAAGGTGAGCAGCACTGAGCCCAGTGAGAAGCTTCTTTTTGCACTGTGCTACAGT